TAATTGACAAGTGATACAAACCTATGAGGCAGGTAATACATCACATCCGGTTTACCAGATGGACAGCGTGACTGGCTAACTGGACGGATCAGGTGCGTGTTCCACTTTCTTTTGCATTCATCCAGATCCCTCTGAAGCACAGCCATGAAAATGAAGTGCACCAAGCACATGTGTTCATAACTACCATTAAAGAGGTGCATTTCCTTCATGTCACTCAAAAGGTCCATCCAGAACTGTGTTCTAAAAAAGACAAAAACATACCATCAGATCACAAATCACCAGCCTTCAAAGCCTCACTATTTCTTACATTTATGAAATTGTTTCTTGAGTTGACGTAAAGTGCGTGCATTTTGGATTTCTATTCATCTCTCTTTCTTTATTGACTATTACAGTTTATATTTTCTATCTTATACTTGTATGTAACATAATGGCTACACATTGAAGCTATAAAGGAAAGGTGGTGTAATACACATCAAGGCTTCTGCATCACAGACTATATAGTACAGCCACACTTTTATCTGCTTAATATAGTTGTTTCTTGAAAAATTTTAAAACCTACCGCTGTTTTCTGAAGTACGACCACCAGCTTTCAATTCTTTGATTTGTTATTGAAGATCCATACATATGACTGGCAGCTCCTGCAAAAAAATCCTGATGAGATGACCGTAAGGCACAATGCATTGCTGCCATCGTCCCATTTTCAGTGCCACAGTCTGTGCGAAGTCGCACTGGTATGACTCCAAACTCTGAAGCACACTGAACGTAGTGTTGAGCTATGACTTCTGGGTTGCTGTTAGTTGCTCCGCAAACCAACCATAATACCTTCCGCGAATAGCCATCAATACAACCACTGATAGTCAAACCATATGGCTTTAATTTGTCATATCCATCAACATGCCAAGTGTGGTTTGGTCCAGGTGAATCGTAAACTCTTCGTACAAACTTTTTCCTTGAGCGCTTTTGGACTCCAGATGGGTCGAGCTCTGCCATTATCACCATGACATCATGCCTTTTCACAGAAAGATGGCGTTTCTGACGCAGTGTCTGCCACATTGAACGGTATCCATAATGTTGACCAGGTCCCTTCAGCTCTTCTATTATTGCAGCACGAATCAAGGCCTGACTTGAGTAATCTTTTTTGCGGGACAGTGATAAACTTCTTAATCTACATTTAAGTGTGGTCAGACTGATCTTCTGTTTATGTTTTGAGGCCAAAATGTCCAAA